GGCCTGGGTCGTCTCCGAAAAAAACTTTTAAAACTTAAAACTAGATGTAAAAATGACATAAATGCCATGAATGAAAAAAATACATAGAATGAAAAATACAAATTATCAACGTTAAAAGATTGACTAATCCTACGTTAACAAAAGTCTATGTAAATAAACCTATCTTATGTATTAACTGCCTGACACCAGTTATAATATTGAAAAAATAGCTTGGATATTATATTCTTTGATTACTTTGTTATTAATAAAAAGGGTGTATAGGGCCAGGGAGATAGCTCAGTAGAATAAGCACTTGCCTGGCAAGCGCAAGGGCCTGAGTTTAATCCCTGGTTCTGCCAAAAAAATAAATAAATGAAAAAGGTGTATAAGCATACAATATTATACAGTTTATAGTGCTGGTATAGTTTCATGACTTACAAATAAGAATTCTAATAATTTTATTTTATATTTCCTTCTAATTGGAGCTTTAGCTCGCTGTGCTTTTAAAGTTCTTTCAAATTTTTATAATAGATTTATGCTAAAATAATAAAGTTGGAATTGGGAGCTTGTCTTATTCTAGTGTATGACACTACCCTTGTTTCGTTTTCTGAGACCTAGTTCTTTATCTCAGTTGAAGGAAACTGGGCATCTTGAACTTTAGAGGTTAAATCTGACTAAAAACGAATTGCACAGTGTGGTGGGTGCTGCTAGCTAGTGGGAGCTGCAAGGCTTCGGAGAGGCAGCTGTGGGGTTAGGGACGCTCAGAAAGGCCGGTACTGAGGTGACCTGGGACCGAGGAACCCACTCACTCATCAGACCTACTTTCCTTCTCCAGAACCTCAGAGGCGGAGGGAATCGGTCCAAAGCTCCCGTCTCCCTGCCGAAACCGCATGAGACTTGTAGGAAGTCACCATTCCCATAAATTCTGTACCAACCCAGCTGGGGTTTGAAGAAATACACGTGGCAAGACCGCGTCTTAATGTTTCCTCTCCTGGCTGCAGGACTATATTTAAAAAACCAAACTGCCGTACTTCGATGTTTATGTACAAGCAGGGCTTAAGGGCCTTTAGGTTTCACGTTCCAGGGATATTTCCTCCCGCATCCGCGAGTCGGAGTCACCCCAGCGCCCGTCACCGAGTCGAAGCGCCCCGCGCGGGCGGGCGAGCAGAAGCCGGGCGCTCGCGGCGCCCCTTCCCCGCCTGCCTGCGGCCCGCGGTGCCCGTCTGCGAGCGCGAAAGGGCTGCCTTCAAGGCGGCCGCCGCTCGGCGCGGGGTCCCACTCGCGGCCTCTCACCGGGCGCTCGGGCGAACCTGGACTTCAGACCTCCCGGGGGAGTCCGCGATCTGTCCGCGGCTCGCCCAGAAAGACGGACTCGTTACCTGCGGCAATCGAGGATTAATGAAAAAAACACGAAAAGAAAAAACATCGGTGACAGTAGTGGAAAGCCCAGGCAAGCAGGGAGCAGCGGAAACTCGTCAGCGCGGGAAGCCGAGAG